GTCGTGTCTGACAGAAGCCAGAGTGATGCAGTCCTGCAGCAGCTCGTCTTTGGGCCGATGGTCCATGGATGTACTGAGAGGCAACATGGAGCGAGGCTTTTTCTTCTTCAGCCCAGTTAAGTCTTAGGATAGACACGCACGCGGTTACATACAGAAATGTGCCAAACACCCGTTTCAAAAGGACATCTGTGCATACCTGGCTTGTCTTTACTCTTTGCAGCAGCTGAGGATTTTCTCTGCATCTCAAATGTGGCTGAAAGACAGAAAATATTTTGAGCTTCAACGCAAAAGTAGCAGAAAATCTTCAAATAGCAACTTGTTTTCTGAACTGCTACCTGGTGAAGGTGCCGGGCTGCTCGTTGAGCTGGCTTCATCTTCGTCATCTTCACCTGACACCCCTTGTCCCGTCACTGCCCTCTCTCCGATTCTCACCGCCGCTCCATTGACCTCTGGCTGTGCAGCTCCCTCGGCCCCCGATGGCCCAGCCTTCTTGTTCTTCTTCTTCTGCTTCGTATTGGCCTTCATCTTCTCTTTCAGGTCGACCATCTTTTTCCCTGAAAGCATATGCGCGTCACGGCCTGCTGGTCGGACAGAAAGGCCGTTTTGTGCTGGTTCTGGCGTTACCTTTAGGCGGCTTTGTGAACTCTTGTTTGGAGACGCTCCACTCCTGCAAGGTGAAGTCCTTCCCTCCGGTCCAGATCACATCTGGATCCACAGGGGACCAATCCACGCACAGCAGATAACCAACGTGTCCTCTGTAGTTACAGACAGCTGCTTCCTCCAGAACATCCCACACCTAAAGAACAAGAATATTCAACAATAAATGTGTCGACATGCTGAGAGCAACATAAAAACAACGCGTTGAGGTAGAGATTCTTATGCATCTACCACCATCTTTTACAGGTTTACACCCATCCACTGACCTGCGCTGTGCCATCATATGAGACGGTGACGAGCCGAGCGTCGTGATGCGGACTCCAGGCCATGCCGGTGATTTTAGCCGTATGGCCACACAACCTCCGATACGGCTCCGTCAGCACCACGGGGCTTTCTGGAGGATTTTCTGCACAACAAACAAAAACACTGATGTAAATACAAACACAGCCATCAAAGCCTTAAATATGTCATTTACCTTTTTACTCGCTCTTTACTGACAGTTTAGATTCTTCCAAATTGACATAATGAGGATTGCAGTACAGTTCGGTTGACATGCTACATGTTAAAGAGGACTCACCTATAACAGAGCGGAGATCGTGCACGTAAACGATGGCGTTGCTGGAGCCCGAGGCCAGAAGGCAGCGCAGCTCAAGAGCAGAGCTGTGGTCGTGATGCCACCGTAACGTGTTAATGATCTTGTGGTGCTGCTGGATGCTGCACAGCAACTTCAGACTGGGAGCCTGATATACGTCGATGCACCTGCGGCACAGAGCAGCTGGTCAGCTGGTAGCAAAAAGCACAAAAACACTTCAAGCAGAAATGAAAAGCAACTGTAGTCCCGAGACGACAAGCAAACAAAGAAGGCAGTACGGGATGCAACATATGAGATCACAGAAGAAATATCTGACTTTGTTCACCAACCAGCTACCAGCTGTGCTTTTCATCTATTGGCAGGTTGTGTACAGCTGTTACCAGCTGTTGATATGCTTTTTTAGACATCAGCTACCTCAACGTAGCCAAGATATCTGCAAAAAATTACATTTTTACAGCTGAATATTGACCATATTACAGCTAATGAAAAAATGCTTACTTCAGGACTGCCCTCCTGAATTTTTATTATCTTAAACACACCATCCAGTCATTCTAACACCTACAGAAAACACATTTTATGACCTCATCCTTTGGACTTTTTAATAACCTGTGAGAACTTTGTGCAGAGTTGTGTAATAACTCTGTAGGTTCATGAATCCAGTTGCTTGTGAAGACGTATGACGATCCATAAAGTGAAACAAACAAGCTGCGAGCCATTTTCTATTGCATCTAATAAATCAAATGTGGTTTTGCTTTGAACCTGGCTGGTTCAGGAAGTGTAGACATCTACATGTGTCAGTGTGGCACCCAATCATAATCCCTGAAAGCGACCTAGATAAGAGGGGGCAACAGTTCAAACAGAACAAAATTCATTATTCTGTAGCCTCGAGTCCAGACACTGTCAGCAGACAGTTGGACCCTCAGAGGACTCCCGCAGGCTGCTGATGGTGTGTAACAAGATGGGTCACGCCTGACCGTTCACTCACCCATCCTCGTTGCCGATGGCAACAACTTTCCCATCTGGCTTCCAGCTGAGGTCGGTGTGTGGAGACAGCTTGTGCTGTTGGGAAGCAAATTTTACCTTTGTAACTTATTCAAATCTCCTTTATTTACATTCAGCAGCAGACATGAAACAAACGGTTGCAGGCACGAAGGACCTGCAGAGTGAACTTGTGCCGTCAGCTTTCTTAGTGTGTCAGCTTTTATTTAGCCTGACATGTTGCTGATTCACTGAGGGCATAATGAAATCTCTGCACAGATAAAAGTCCTGCTACGAGCAACAAAAACATGTCTCTATACATGTGACTGCTTTACTGTCCATCTTACCAACTGCACACAGAGCTCTCTTTGCTTGGTGCTGGAAGTGAGATGATGGTGAGGAGGGTGTCAGGCTGGGTTATTTGTGCTTTTACCTGCAATGCAGCTTATAACAGAGGCTTTTATTTCTAGAGTCCTGTTTGATAACTGATCTTACTTCAGTACAAAGTTAGGCTGTTGGGAATTACATCAGGAATCAGTGACCACCAAAGTGATTAGCAATAGATTGCTGAAGATTTGCTTTATTATATTTTAATCTCAGCAGCACATCCTCTCGAAACATGAAAAGAAAAGAAAAGAAAAAAAAAAAGAGGGAAACTCTAGTTTTAAATCATCCTGATTTAAAACTAGAGGTTAAATTAACGGCGCTTTTGCAGAAAGTAGGGCTGGGCTATATCATACCGTTCACGGTAATACCGGTGTAATTTTGGTCAAGATAGGAAAATGACATATCGCGATAGAATAGGGGTAAAACGCGCATGCGCAGTGCCTATGTTTACATACGCACATGG